GAGGAAAACATTATTGAATATGTCAATTGTGTTGTAATGATATGCTTCTTCTAAGTATGTTGTTATTAAATAAATCATTTTTAAAAATTAAAAAAAAAAAACTTTGAGCTAAATAAACCTCTCTTCTTTAGGAGTAGCCTGCTTCAGGTATTTCATTGTAGTAATGAAAAACTGATTAATGTGGTCATATAAAGCTAAGATATGTCTTAAATGAGTTTAAGCTAATGCAGAGAGGAGAGAGGCCACCAGGAACAGCAAGGGTGATGGGATGACTGTGGAAGAAGAGGAACACAATTCATGAAGCAGAGAATATGACCCATAAGTTTAGGGTGTGGGGTGGAGAAGAAGCAGGACATTATCTGGTGTATCAGTCACTTTCCTGTTGCTGTGATAGAAACACTGACCCAAGCAACTTATAGAAGGAAGAGTTTATTTGAGCTATGGTTCCGGGGGAATTACAGTCTGTCATGGCAGGGAGGCATGGTAGCTGGAGGTGGCTGGAGCAGGAGCAGCAGAAGTTAAGCCCTCACATCATCACACAAGCACAGGAAGCAAGAGAGAAACTGGAGATCCGGCAAGGCTTAAGAACTCTCTAAGCCCACCTCCAGTGACATGCTTCCTCCAGGATAGCCACACCTTCTAAAACCTCACAAAACCGTGCCATCATCTGGGGACAAAATGTCCAAACACTTGGAGCCTATGGGGGACATTTTCATCCAAACCATCACATCTGGGGTAGATGTTTTGTATAGTTGATACCAGATTTTGGAAGACCTAGAATGGATGAAATGTAGGACCACTGTAGGTGTTGGAAGGGAGTTCCAGGAAGTCATAAGAAAAAGCATCAGCACATCACAGTGATCCTGACGCTCCTAACGGCAAGGGCTTTTGTCTTTTCTAAGCTGTTGACCATAACTTTCAGTGAAAAAGCTTAACTCTCTCTCTCTCTCTCTCTCTCTCTCTCTCTCTCTCTCTCTCTCTCTCTCCACCTGACTGAAACATAACTTTATTTAATAAAAGAAGGTTTAGGGGCTGTAGAGATGGCTCAGCAGTTAAGAACATTGGTTATTCTTGCAGAAGACCCAGGTTTGAATCCCAGCACCCACATGGTAGCTAACAACTGTCCGTAACTCCAGTTCCAGGGGATCTGATGGCCTCTTCTGTCCTCCACAGGCATTGCACGACATGGGTGCACTTATCTACATGCAGGCAATGCATGTATACACATACAATAAAAATAATAAATAAAATATTTTAAAATAAAAGGTTTAACCTTACTACATGTGCTGCATTGTATTCTCCACTTGACAGCATTTCACCTCTTTCTATTCAACTTCACTCTTTCATGCTGCTTTTTATCCATTAGACCAAGGAAAGGAGTACCCACTAAAAGATACCATTTTTTACTATTTTTAGGGTGAACCACAGTGGTCAGGAGGAAACAAGAGTAAGATGGCTTTTGTTAGATGCCAGCAACTTCATTACAAAGAAGTTCATTACTTTATTCCTGCATCAGACATCTAGAAGTATCGTCTACATACTAGGCATGAGAGTACCAAGAGGCCCAGGCCCAATAGCTTGAAAAGCTCATGGTCAGTAGGGGAAACAGGCAGGTTAATCACCATTGAAAACCTTTTATAGAGACTTGCAAGAGTATCACAAGGTCATGTAACCACTGGAGGAGAATAAGAAAGATGTTCAGAGAAAAGAGCCTTTGAAGTGGTTTGAAGTGGTTCTTGGAGAACAAGTTTGCTAGCAGGAGGGGACTGGTGGCAGTCATACTAGCTGAAGGGTATAGAGTGATAGACAGGAGGCTGTGGAAGCCAGGGTCTGGGTAGGGTTGACAGATTTAGCAATCAAAAATAGGAGATAATAGATTTTAGACTTCGGAGAAACAATGAATAACCTTTAATGCTCATATGTTCCATAGATATGAGCATAAGGGATAAGACATTTTATGCAGTTGGAACACAGGTAGGCATGAGGAAGTGGCAGAGGTGTGCTGTGGATATATTAGGATCATGCTGTGACAATTTAGGAGAGAATAAGAATTTTCCTTGGAGACTCTTGCTTGTGTCAAAAGCTAATTTGAGAATAACCATAGAACGCCCACAAAGAAATTAGAAAAATATATACAGGAAAATACATAACCGTTGAGTCCTTCTGAGTAAATATTGTAAGAGTAGAATGATTAATTATTAATGCTTATTAATGCAATTATCACTTAGTTTGCTGACTTTAATTGTTTCTAAGATGCCTTTGGGTATTTCATTGAGAAGAGGGAATGAAAACATTTTTGCCACATTTACTGATTTCTTATTACATTCTAACCTGAGGCTGGAATTTAGGTTATTAACAGTCATGGGATTCATAATATGTATGTGATCAACCTAGCAAGACTTTTTTTTCTGTTTAAGTAATTTCCCAGACGTAATAGACGTAGGTCATATCATATATTAGTTGCTTGTTGCTCAACAAAACACTCAGTGAAAGCAACTTAAGGACATATTTGTTTTGTCTCAACATTTGAGCATACTCTTGCCCTCCATGACAGGGAAGGCAACAGTGTGAGGTGGTTGTTCACTTTGCATGCACAGTCAGGAAGCAGAAAGTGGTGAATGCTGCTGCCCAGCATCCTCTCCTTTTTATTCAGTCTGGGACCAGAACCCATGGACTAATGTCACTCCTTACCCTAAGGATGGGTCTTCCCACCTCAGTTAACCTTATCTGGAAAATTGCTCACCAACAAGCCCGTAGATTAGTTTCCCTGGTGACTCTAAATCCTGACAGGTTGAAAATCAAGGTAAACCACCTCAGGTTGTCTTTCATCCTTTCTTCTGACTCCCTGTGGAAATGACCCTTCAACCCATATCGCTGTCTTCACAATACCCTTTGGGTCCTCCCAGAAGGCTGGGGGACAGACCTGACCCAAGCTAGGCCAGTCAGAATTCAAAACCTTTTGTCATGTTGTATTTTAACCTTAAATTTGGGAGCTTGAACTAATTATGTTTTTCTGCCATAATGACTGGAGAATCAGAAGAAGCCAGTCCATACTGCATAATGCAGCAAAGAAGCCATTTTGTGAAGAGGAGAGAGCATGAGAATTTGTAAACTTGAGTGACAGAGTGAAGAATGAACACAGAGCTGCACAAAGGTGGGGAGAGAGAAAGAGGGAGTGAATGTGGACCCCTGACGTAGCCTTGTGCTTTTAGCTGCATTCCTGTCTTTGGAGTTTATAATGTAACCTCTACCTTATGGTGCATATTCTCAGGATCAATAAATCTGATTGATTTATTGAGATCAGTACTAACGAATAAATAAGATCATTAAAATTGCATTGGAAACTACCGTGATCTCCCTGCCTTAGTGGTGATTATGAGCTGAGCATGCAGCTCCTTGTTGCCAAATAAGAAACAAGCCTTCATTAAATCATACATTTGCATCACTGTGTAACATAAACTACCTGGGCTGTGGTGTCTCTTCCTGTCTACAACATATTTTGGATTTGTTCAAGAGGAAGTCCATAGGCATAATTTGAAGCCAGTTGATTTTTGCTGGAGAAGATTATTATTATTATTATTTTGATACCATTAAGACTACACAGATCAGTGACTCCTCAAGGTGTGTCATGTGATCTGTGAAACTAGTAGTTAGATCATAGAAACAAAGGGTGATGTTTCTCCAGTCAGGCCATGTTTTGGCTGGGTAAACCACTTTGCAGTATCATTCAGAAACTTATTTATTAAATTATTTTTATTGAATTTTTGTGCATTTCATATAATAGATCTTAATCAAACTTAAGCCCCCTCCCCCATCTGCACCCCCTTAGCCTCCTAACCCCACTGGATTTTATGCATTCTGTCATATATGTTAAGTCCAATTTGGTCAAGCATTTGTACCCAGATGTCCCTTGGTGCAAGTTCATCCACTGGAGTCTAGTCAGCCTGTCTAGAGTCACTCCCTTAAAGATCTGCTCTCCCTCACCCAGCAGTAATCAGTTGCCAATAGCTCCTTGGCTAGGGTTGGGGCCTGCTGCCCATATCCCCAGTTCTATGTTAGGTTTTTGTCTAGTTGAGTCAGCATAGGTCTTGTACATGCTGTAACCATTGTAAGTTCATATGAGCAAGTTCCCAGAGGCCTGAAAGCCTCTGTTTCCTTATGTTC